GACCTTTATGGTGACCTTGACTCTGATATTCATGACATGTCATACTGAAAGTTTGAATCCCTGCTTTTTTTTTTTTTCCCCAAAACCACTGCAGTACTATAACCAACATTTTGATAGCAGCACCATCTAGTGGTTGTTGGTTTAACAGGCAGTCACTGGTCTCATCAGAAAGACATTCTCCAGTGTTTTGTCCTCATTAGGGTTGCGGAGCTGGAGCCTATCCTAGCCAACTTTAGATAAGAGGTGCAGTACACCCCAAGACTGGTTGCCAGTCAGTTGTAGGGTATATACCTCAGAAGTCCACACCTGCATCATCTTCGCAAAAATCGCACCTTTATGATGAAAATGCTAAGTTCTGATTGAAGTATTGCTTTCATATTTTACTAGGTTAACTGTGATTGCAACTTGCAAATGTATTCAACAATGTTGTGAAGGCACAGCTCTTCTATTATTGGAATGTGCATGTGTACTACCTGCTAAAGTGGCACGCAAAGCATCTTTGAAGTCGTCCTGCATGTGTATTCTCAGATAAGAACCAAGTCACGACAATAGCAAATCTGTCTTATTTATTAAATCTTTAAACCACAGAAGTGTAATATTTCACAATGGCCCTAAATGGCACATTGGGTAAAGTGTGCTAATTATCCTTTGAGGGAAATATTGTTGCTCCTCATGTTTGTCACAGTTGATTTTTTTTATTACAAATTACCTTTTTTTTTATCCACACAGGTATCAGGTGGCGTTCCTGTAGAAGGAGAGTATGTCGTCCAAACTTTGGGAGGGGCCTTGAAGTGGCTGCTCGGGCTCTGTTGCTGTGGGAGTTGGCTCAGGCTGGCTGGGCTCGCTGGGTTGGGGGGGCACCTGGGGCTGGTTGGGCACAATGGGTTGAGGGTGCACCTGGGGTTGGAACTGGCTCGGCATTGGAGGCGGACACTGAGGGGGATATTGATTTTGGTAGTGGGCGGGGAAGTGAGGAAATGGGTAAGGTGGGCATATAAAGTGCGGAGGAGTAAATGGAGGGTAAAAAGGAGGAGGGAGGTACTGGAGATTGGCAGGGGGAACTGGTGGGCGACATGGTGGCGGAGGCTGTGGCTGGACTGGGGGATTTTGTGGTGGCGGAGGATGTGTAGGGGCGGCTGCAGGGGGAGGGCGTGATTCATCATCCTGGTTTTCAGTGTTCACAGCTGGGGCCTGTGACCGCGAGAAGGACATTTCGGGATTTTTCTTCTCAGGTATTTGTGTCTTTGCCGGTCTAGGGCGCTTTTGGTCGGTAAAGTACGTGGAGGGAGGTGCAAACTCAGACTCTCTCTCCGACTGACGCCGGCTTTTCCACTCACTGAACATGGACTCTGGAATACAAAAAAGAAAAAAAAAAAGTGGAATGACGTGTGACAAAGTCGGAAAGACACGTGAGTTGAATTGTGAGTGGGGAGACAAATGCTAATAACTTTTCTTTGAATGTTTCAGATGGTGATTAGCTTTTTTCCTGCCAATCAGCGGAGAACTTTCTACAGCGGGGGCTTGGAAGTTGATGTTTACTTTTTTTTTTTTTTTAAATACCACAATAAGTTTCATCCACACACAGAGGCACATTTTCGTATGTAATTTAGCTTTTTGTCCTTAAAAACTGAGCTTTTGGAAAACCGCCTTCTGTGTTTGTTTCAAGATTAAAACTGACTTTTGTGTCTCGTTGGAAACGTGCGACATTTCGTCATGTATATTATCGCCTTACATTCAAGCAATGACACAATTGCGAGTAGTAACATACAGAGGTGATTTTAAAAAATGCATATATCCATTCATTTTGTCTCTTGAACTTTAAACGTGATGTGCATGTAAGAATTTTGGCAACGCAATGCATAACCAAGTAAATTGACACTGATTCATATTGGCCAAAATGTGCTTGAGACAAAAATGTTTTGGTGACACTTGATGCCCTTGTGACAGCTGGAGATGAGTCTGTATTGATGCTGTCATGCAGTGAAGGTGATATACCAACATACCTTTGCCTCTGTCCCACTCTCGGACATGAGGGACTCCAGGTTTGGTGTCCCTTCTTTCCTCAATCTCCACTTCCACTTTCTTGACTCTGCTGACCTCTGGTGGATCATGCGGCGGAGCTGAGAGTGCCGTCACGTCCTCATCTTCAGAGTCACCATCACCATAACCACACAAGCAAGTATATTACCAAATGAAACAAAGGAAGAAAACAGAATGGGACATTGTGGTGGATTTGAACCTTCGTTCTCCTCCTCGAGTTGCTCTTCCTCTGCCACATCCCCCTTTGCCTTCAGTTTCCTCTGCTTTATTTTGGCCAGCCGGGCCTGCAGGATGGCCTTCTTTTTCTCTTTCAGTCGCTCTCTCTTGCTCCGCTGGTCAGTCGTCTGAAAAAGGAGACGGTCATCCATTTCAGGGGAGCATACTAGGCTTATTTATTTACACACTGGTATTTTTCAGGTGGGTTGAGGTTGTTTTTTTTGGAAAAACGAATATCCTTAATATTTTGTAAAAATGTAACAGGTAGAATTGAAAAAAAAACATGTATTTAAAAAGGTCAAAAGTATGACTTAAAGACCGTAATTTACCATGAGAGTGACCCCGCCAACAGTACATGAAAAGAATGGATATTAAAATAAGTGGCTCACCTGGTCCCTGAGCATGTCCAGAGTCTCCCTCTGCTTTCTGCGATCCTCCTCATCGTGAGAGAAGGCAAAGTAGCCCACGCCAAGCTCCCGAGCCTCTGTGAGATGACACAAAAGCACAAAAATGAAGGCGAATTTCCGTTTCCACTTGCCTATTCCAGTGGATCTCCAACGAAAGCTAACCTTGAGCCCTGATGTTCTCATAGTGGACAGGTCCAACGGGCTTCTTCATGGCTTCCTCCTCTTCTCGCTCCCACTCTTGCCTCTGCAGCTCTCTCCGCATGTCCTCTGACAGCAAGTCAGCAGAGACTTTTCTAGATGGAACAAACACATTCTCAGCTCACATCTATGCCCCACCACATAAAAAAAAAAAAAAATCAAGCTTAATTACCCAGTTCCTTTGAAGTTGAAGTCCATTTTCATAAAATCTGGCAAGTCTTTCTTCATACACCTTCGCGATCGTCCCAAAGCGTCCACAAAGTCCACCCTACAGCGGAACAAAGAAAAACAGTTTATTTTTCACGACTTAACTGGTCAACATCATAATCATGAATATTACCATTCTTCATCTGGGTTCTGGGGAGGAGGAACAGGGGACAATCTGGTTCTTTCCTCCTCCTCGCTGTCAGCATCCTTCTGTGTTTGCGTTTCTCTTCTTCTGTCAATAATCTTTTGCGCAAAATCCACCAGGTACAACCCCTCCGTCTCTTCATCTGAGAACAAGGTTAATGTAATTAAGAACTTTTTTTTTTTTTTTGCAATCACACATACAGTAGGTGGCGTACCACTCATTTCTGACCTGGAAAATTTCCTTTAGTCATCTGTTCATAGAGTTTGGCTTTTTCCTCTAGCTTGCTCCTAATAAATAACAAAAAGTATTCATGACAGTGTTATTTTATGACTGAAAGTACTGACAACTTACTTTGCACTATCCAAGGTTCTCTGCTCCTCAGCAAGCTGTTCTGCATCTTTCTCAGCTCTTGCCGAAACTCCAGAGTTTTGCTTAACCCATACATTTGGTTTCTACACAGTGAATAGAGCAGCAACTTGAGTTGACAGCTTGTATTAACATGGAAAAATCTGAATGAACACTTTACGTACCTTAACTATGGGTTTTGGTTTATGTCCAGTGCCAGCACTTTCTTGGCCAAGTCTTTGCTGTTTGAATTGCTCCTGCTTTCTGTACAGCTCCGCTTTAAGGTCCACCAGCTACAAGAAGCCATAGAGGTGTAAGAATCTACTTTAGACCATTTCTGAAGCTACGTAAATGAATCGAATGTAATGCTAGCAAACTAGCATGAAAATTAACGTTAGCTGGGTTTCTCTTGACATTTACCGTCGCGCGATGTCGATAGTTTGCTTGCTAAAAGTGCAACTTACCGAAGACGCTGTCACGTCAAACGGTCTTTTCTTCTTGTCCATTCTAAAATCTTTTCTCTATCAAATTTGAAGACATTTGTCGTGAGAGGGCACGAACCTCCTCTAACCTTCTTCTAGTTTTGCTAGTTGATATATGTTGTACTACCGCCAACTCTTGGCCATACTTATCAAGTGCACTTTAATTTTAATTCTACGATAAAACGAGATTTTAATTTACTGTACTCATTTCATGGCTTCCTCAATATGTAGGTTCAATGTGTATGTAAAATAAGCTTATTTTATTAGTAATATAATAGATCGTATTTTATCATTATTACAAATACAACAAAAATAATTTAAAAAACTTAAACATTTTAAAGTTGTAATATTTTTGTATTTCGCATAGGATTATTGATTGTAAAACTGTTACAACATAATGGCCATTATTATATTTTTAATTAAATTATTTTACTATTTTGTGGTCCAATGTTTACAATAAATCAGTTGACTGCAAAAAAAAAGGCATTATCGTTAATTGATCAATTCGATGATTTAAAAAAAAATAATGCAACAAATATTGCAGGAAATAACAGAATGAGTCATACATAGCCAGCGGGCTGTTCTTTGCTCACCTCCGCATTAGATATTCTAATACATTTTCAACACACATTTATTTCATCGAATTTGTCTGCTGCTTTGGATCTTCGCGAAAACATGTTCCATTCCACTGCACTAACACACTTTCAGAACTACGTATAAAGGTGACGTCTTTCCCCTTTAACTTTCGGCTTATTCCCTTTCAGTCAGGGGCCGCCACAGGAAATTACTCGCATGACATGTGACAGAAAAAAAAATTATCACATGCTTCAAAACAAACAACAAAACAGAAAAGCTGCAAAACCCCTCATTACCCCCTGGAGTGAGAGAGTCAGACAAATCAAAGCAGAGGTGGATGTGTTGCCGCATGCATTGGGCACATTTGTTGCGTCCGGTACAAAGTGTACTCTGACCCACATGTTGGGATTGTATTTATTGAGAAACTGTCGACCGGAACATCCCTAACTGTTTTTCATGAGTCAGAGCCGTCAATCTCTCTTCAAAACCTTGCCTGCTCAAAAGAAAAAGCACTCAAAATGGAACTTCAAAGTGGAAATGTGCTTGTCCTTCAGAGCGACAGTACTTGATTCCCCCAATCAATAATGTGCCTTAAAAATGCTTTTTCACTTCCACGCCATACTGTACCGTAGTGTACCTCTCTCTTCTTGTGGGCACTGCTGCTTCAAAAACAAAACTGCAAGAGTTCAAGCATTGAATTTACTTGGCAAGCTTTCAAACCAAAGCGGACCACATGAAACATATTAATCCAATAAAATCACATCAATCTAAGGTTATAATAACGGCTGATAATGTGACAGCATTCAATTGCACACATGTAAACCGCGCTGCACATACAAAACTCGAGATACATATAATATTAGTCAGGAGCCAAAAAAGAAACCAACGGCATGAAAGAAGATTTTTCAAACATTCAACCCCATTTTCAGATGCCATAAAGCTGAGTGGTGTTGTTTCGGATGGTGGCGAGCGTAGTGGGCATGTCTTCCCCCTTAAGTAGACTCAACTCCTGCAGTGTATGGATGCCCAGTCCCGGATGGGAAAACCTGCAGTGGTCTTTCTTCACCTATCAGAATGGAAGAAACTTAAGAACGTGTCCTCTGTTGTTGAGTAACAATAAAAGTAAAGGCAGCACATTTGGGGTGCTGGGATAAAATACATGTGAATGGATCGAAAAAGAAATAAACTGCATTTCATACCATTCTTGGCAGGAAATACGGTGCATCTGTCTCCAACAAGATGCGGTCTAGAGGGACTTTGCGGACAGCATCTCGGGCCTCAATGGCACTGGAATAGGTGATCACGGCTGTAAAGCCCACATACAAGTTGGGGAACGCTTCCAGGAAGGGTTCGATCACCGGATAGCTGTTTGTAAAACAGTGCCTACATAATCCAAAATAATCAAAGCATACAGACAAAAAAAAGGCAGGTTAGGATTGTGTTGATGTAGTTATGGGTCTCCACAGATTTTCCACAAAGGGGCACAGACAAGAAAATGGAAGAAGAGAGCCACTTTATTTTGTGTTTGTGCAGCAAGCTAAAATTAATTCAATAAACCGGAGGTCAACATATTTTAACCAGTTAAACATTTTTAAAGTGGGGGGGAGAAAAAAAAATCCTTAAACCTGTGCTTTGTGTAGTATTAGGTCCGCCGCACAGCGAGCGATGCGGCGAACGCAGCTGCACCAATTGATTACACACTGCGCCTCAACCAAAAGGACAACAACAATAAAAATGGAACCCTGCATCTAGTTTGGAGACTCTACAAATACAAACAGTATACTGTATTGTATTTTTTTAAATTTTTTTGAACCAGGTCCCTATCCCCTGCCAACAGCAGGGGCTGACTGTATTATTCCGTCTGCCATTTTAATTAAATAACAAAAAAATGACATGACAGATTTTCAATCATATTTTACATGTAAAAATGTGATATCTTGTGACGTGAAAATTCAAATCTTTTTCTTTTTGCTATATATATTTTTTTTATTAACAAGTGTGACATGTTCCAACAGTTTCTCCCAACTTTATGATACGAGCGATGAATTTGATTTATTAGAATACACCAACGGACAGACAAACAAACAAATAAAAGAGTGTTCTCAGTGTTCTCCGAATAGCCCCTGGACGGTACTGGACTTTAGACATCCCTGAAGAAGGTAGTAGTACATTGTCAAGAGCCAACAAAACAATATGAATACACACCTGTGAATTTTGTAATCTCTGGGGACGCGCTTCTTCAGGATGGCTATCAGGTCGTCATCTGCATCCCTGCAGTGGATGAGCAGAGGCTTGTTCATGGTCACAGCCCATTGCAGCTGCCGCTCAAACACCTTCACATCAAGACGAACAACCGTGACGACACCGCAGCTTCATTTTTGACTCCGATTAAGTGATTCCGCCCCTACCTCTTTTTGCTTGCGGATACAAGTGGAGTTTTTATGGGAGTAGTCCAAACCCATCTCGCCAAACGCCACGGCTTTCGGATGCCCCATGGCTTTCAGTATGCTGCATTCGTGAACGCTGGAGTACTCATGAGCAAAGTGTGGGTGGCACCCAAAAGCACCCCAAACCATCTCCTCATCCAGGAGATCTTCCCACAGGGCCTCCTCAGACATGAGCCGCGGATTGCAGAAGTCCGTAATGCAGCCTTGAAACTCTGCCGGAAAGCTAGAGCGGTAGAGACTTCGGAAACGGCCGAAGGAGCCACGGAAGCGCAGTTTTCCGTAAAGCATGTCAAGATGGCAGTGTGTGTCGATGAAGCCACCGGTGCTGTGTGGGTAACTTGACCAAGGGGGTTGCGGTTTATCCATGGACAGTCTTGGCTTCGGAGCTCTATCATGTTGAAATGAGTAACGGGGGGAATGGACGGAAGAGCCAGCATATGACTGCCTGCGTGTGGCTGAGGAGGCACTTTCACGACTGTCCGACTGTGACGGCAGGGCAAAGGGGTCTGAGAAGTCGAGAGTCTTGGCGTTTAGAGTTGCGCTTTCCACTCGGGCCACTGGTGAAGGGCTTCTGCCTTCTTGCTGCTTGTTTGAGACAAAAATCGGCATTTTAAAATCCCTAAAGTCCACACTGCATTCTCTCGGGGATGAAAAGGGAGATGTAGCACAAAAGCTGTCATTCCGTGGCGGGCTCAGGCATTTCCCGCCGTCATAGGAGTCATCCTGAGGAGTCATAAGGTAAGACAAGGAATCTGGAATATACTCAAGAGCACACAAGAGTCATGGTTCTGAGCTTGAGGTTCTTTTACGACGACTTCCAGCACAAAACCCTGATAGAGAACAACATTGAAACTGTAACATCACACGTATACAGCATGTGGAAAAACGACACTCCCTTCATTCTCTTGAATGGACCTGGCCGTCTGCATGGCTAGCGAAAGTGTTCATTCACTACAACCTTCACTTGTATATATAAAATTGAAAATGTGGTGAAGTATTGTCCCCTCCCTGCGCTGTCACCTTATTGTGGTGGAGGAGGTTTGTGTGCACTAATGAACCAAGTAGCTAAATTGTCTGGGGCTTCATGCCCCTGGCAGGTTCATTCATAGCAAACAGATAACTTGATGAAACAGATGCAAATTTGATCAGACTAGTGGGTTCACCTATGGTAAACAAATCAAATTAGATTGGATTGGATTTAAGACAATACGTTACAGCTGTGTCTGTAAGATTTTACCAGGGCAAACAATTGATTATTCCTTTTACAGAGGCTGTATTCAAACTTACACAAAGTATTACAGTTCAACCGCTCAAAAAGCTCCCGGTTTGATCCTGACTGGCTGCAGCATATGGGCTTGTGGAGTAAACGAGCAATGAGTCGCAGTATTCCCTTACCGCAGTGGCAGACGTGCCCTTGAGCAACCAATGACACAACTGCTCCCAAAGCAGTCAAACGCTGCCCACTGCACCACTATGTCGTTAATTGTTTGTTTACACGGAACCGTTTTACACTGCCAATAAAAGCCACCATTTTTTCCCCCCTGTTATTTATGAACATCAAAGATATCAAACAGTTGTCCTGCAAAGATTTAGTCTTCAGAGGTGGCATCAAAGCTGATACAGAGATATGTGAGGCAGAGGTTCCAACTAGAGGCCTGTAAAACATGACTTGGAAATGACACCGAAGGTTTTCTAACCAATCCAATAGCATGTGCTCATTTTATAAGCACTGTATAGAATAATGAAAATAATAACTGGGACTTACCCAATTGCCGACTTGAGGCACTACATCATCTTTTTGGCCAACTGAAACCACAACAGCTTGAGAAGTTGAGCACTCATCTTCGCTGATCTTGAGCTGTGGTGACCAGCAGCAATGAGTCCTGAGTGAAGCCTGACTGTGTTCTTCGCTCTTCTCATGGGGGCTTGCAGGGGGCACTGAGAAGCTAGTACCAGTGCTAATTTTTGTAGGTGTGCTCATCAATTCCCTGGTCTCCAAAGCTGCGGATAATGCCATCTTGTAGATTGCCTTCATGCCTTCTTCTGGTGTCCTGTCCATTTTCTTGATGAAAACGTGTGAGCCAAGAGTGGATACGTTGCTCTGTACAGACTCGTGCTGATTGGTGTCCTGTGAGATGACCAAAAAAAAAAAAATAGTAAAATCTCGCAATTTAAGTCACAGGATTCCCATGTAACACCATACACAGCACTTCTATTCATCTTCCATATTCCATTGTCTGTTACTGCAAAATATATTCCACAATAAATTATTCAACAAGTTGACAGACAGCACAGTGCACAAAATCACCTGGGATGTGAATGTTTCAAAATACTTCCTGGTGCGCTTCCTGAGCTCAACTTTGCTTTGAGAGGCAACCTCATCAAGGGGTGACTCCGCTTTCCTCTTAGGGGTGTAGAGACTCAGCTCGCCAAAGCCAACTGGTCCAGGGGAGTTGGTGAGGGGCAAATCTGCTTTAGGCAGCACTTTGCCAGGCGTGAGTGTTCCATCTCTTTGACGGGAACATACAGTTGGGGAGGTGACTGTTTGACGCTTTGATATCTTAAAAGCCAACTTTTTCCTGTTGCTGTCCATGTTGGAAAACCTAGACATAGATAGATAGATCCCATGGGGGAAATTGACCATAATATGAATTCGTGAACTCTATTGGGCAACAAACAAACACAGACTAGTCACAAGCATTAAAAAGTCAGGCAGGAATTACACAAAAAGTTCGCGTGCGTGTACTTTTAGCGTTGTTTCTATTATTTAGGTTACAAACGGGCAAAATATTAGAACGAAAAGTAGTCATGATTAAACTAAGACTATGTAAGGGCGTTGCAGCAACGCAGGGTTCACCAAGCATGAAGCATCTTAACGGTTTACATTCAACTGGCAGTGTAACGTAAGAATGACTCAAGACAATCTTTTGTTTTATTCTGTTTGTTTTTTTTTTTTTACCACGTGGCAACGTTAGAGCCACCAAAAAATTGGAACTTACTAAGAAACACCAGAGAAACTTTTAATATCCAAGTAAGGCTCGCATTAGCCTAGCTAACCACCTAGCTCCGCATTAGCCATCTTTTACCGCAACGTGTGTACTAAAAAGCAAATATGACATTTTTAAAGTGAAAACACAAATGAAAGTAGGTTTATATTTGTAGATTCAGTAGGTACTCACGTGAAAATCAACGTGTGCGTACAAACTTTTTTTCTTTCTTTAGATGAAAGTTAACTTGTCTCTTGGGGGTGGAATCGTAGATTTGTGACGATAGTGAACGGCGTCCAGTCCGTTTCAGTGATTCAGCCCCACCCAGAAAGCTTGGAGTGATTTTTAGGACGATAAAGTAACTAAAGTTTTATTTCCGAATAGAACGTTGTTTGGCTATAGCGTTTTGTAACACTAGATGGAGACAGAGTTCCGTGTTCGTCGCACCTCGCGAGATTTGGTCAAGAGAACAGGTGCGAGCATTTAGTGGAACATAATTGATATTACTCTTTTTGATCTTGTTGTTCCTATTGTGATTATTATTAATAATAAATGTTTTGTATTCTCCAGTTAGACGTTTTCAAACTAATATTTACTGTAATTGAAACGTTTCAAGGTTATGAAAAGGATGCAATAAAGTAGTTTGGCAGTACTTATTGTTTTCATTTTATTTTATGCCATTAAAATGTTGAAGAAAATGCTGGATCAATGAATTGTGCGGCATTAGAAGTTGAAAAAACTCCAAGGGCTGAAGGAGAAAAAAAATTGGTGTTACCCTGTGTAGAAAAGTTTATTAAACTCGTTAAACACAAGGCACAGGATTGGGAAATTAAAATCCTCTCAGAGTTTGGGTAATCCCAGAACTGTCTTGTAGGCATCGAGGCTATATCCTTTATCTGTAAGTGAAGAAATATTGATGTTTTTAAACTATCATCATTTCAAACATTCAAAAAATGACAGCATACATTAGACATTGATGTGGACGACTGCATACCCGCACAGTCATCTCAAAGTCTCTGTCATGGATGGGCAATTTAAATCCTGGAAGAGGTCTTGTCCACTACATTATGGTTCAGCTGATCAGAGGGCCCCCGGTTCGATCTTGGCTGGCTTCACCACATGTGAAGGTGGAGTAAACAAATCAGTGTATTTCCTTCCTACCAATGGCTCCTCATTGCAATTTACTCAACTGCTCCCAAAGCAGTAGAAAGCTGCCCACTGCACCACCCTCGTCGTTAATTCTTTGTTTACGGAAGCCTCTTTCATGCTACCTAATAAAAGTAACCATTTTTACCCCCTGCCGTGGTTCTTTGTAAACATAAAAGACATGGAGTGATTTGAAGCCAAACATAACACATTTGATTTTGTTATGATCCAGTGAATGCAAAGTTGAACTTAATTGACAGAATTTCAAACGGTAAGTTTGGCAAAATCTCAACACTACTGATCACCAAAGGAACGGCATCATACTTTGGGGCTGTTTATCTTCATCTGTAATTGGGGCCTTAGACAAGGTGGAGGGAATTTTGAACAGTTTGAATTAGCGGTCAGACCTCAAAACCTTCAGACTTTTCCTCAAAAGTTAGAATGTCAGGAAAGCCTACTAGAACATCTGAAATGTATTTGGGTTAAGTGGAAGCTCTTAAAAATGGTGACATATAAGCTGACTCCCGTTTAACATGACATTGACTGTGATTGGTTAATTCTGACAAGACAGTTCTCACTTTGGGGCATTTTTATTCCTCTTTGCAGCATCTCTGAAGGTCCATCAGGTTCGATGATGTGGGTGATGCAAAGCCATTTTCAGATCTCTCCTGAGATATTGAAATCAGATTCAAGTCTGGGCTCTGACCACAATACATGAATTGATTACATTTTGAAATAAACGGTTAAGGTTTTTGGAAAGCATAACACAATTCAGCTTGTTCAAAAAAAATGTGTTCTGTAATCATGCTCGTTCAATAGGTGCATAAAATAGTAAGACTGACCTCTGTATTTGATTTACATAAGAGTATAACTGAATTTAATTTCTGTCACTGTCACACATGAACAGACTGTAACTGAAAGCAAAGCTTTTCCCAGATAAAGACACATACAGGAGAAAATATTGACTAATATTTCATATAATGTGAGGTAAATAGCATCTGTGAACAAAACCTACACACAGTGTCTGCTCACTGAATATTGGTCAGATTTGGAATAAAAAGGAAACTAATTTAAACGACAAAAGAAGTCATACATTTCAATGCTCAGCAGTTACAGACATCAAATACAGTGAAACCTTAAAATTGAAAGAGCCCAACCCTGAACCCAAAAATAAAATATCAGACAAACAAATCTTATGAGACTTAAGGTCAGTGAGCATTACAAAGGGACTGACTAGTTTTTTTTCTTTGGCTTTTTTTTGTGTTTTGTTATGATGGCACCACAGCGGGGTTCCACTGATAAGAAACAAGGACAAGCATAGCATATTGGAAATGGAACTTATTCCGAAGTAACATAAGCATAGGATTAATGATAAGGTAAAACCTGGCAACAATTAAGATGAAGTTAAAAATACGACTTAAACTTTGCCTTCCTAAGTAGGATGACTTCAGCATTTCATCACCGCCTGCAGATTCACCTCTTACCAGATCTCGATATTTTTATTTTATTTGGACCGTGTAAACCTCAATTTTCGTGGAAAATGCTTATTGACGTTTTTTTCTTACTTTTTCAAGAACTTTGGCTGTTTTAAACAAAGGTTACGGATCCCCCACGAACACCGGAGGTCCATTCTTTAAACCTTTGTCTCTCTTCTGGCGTATGAAAGACAGCGTCTGTGTCTTTGTGTGCTAAAAACTCCTCAATTGACCATCATCTTGAGGCTGAGTGTGAGGGTTGATTGTCTGGAGCTGGGTTAACACTGATGGCACTTTTCCACTGCGCTTGTGCTAAAGTGCTCATTCCCAGCCAGTGCCCCGGTGAGCACCAGTTCTTTCTTTTTCCACCACTGAAATTGGCTTTAACTCTAGCGCTTGAAGCTGGTGCTTAAGCTGGCCCCAATTATTTGTTGGATCAGACTCTGGCACCAACTATGTCAGGGGGCGGGGTTATCATGACGATCGCAGATGGAGAGCAATGACTCCCTGGACGCATGGACATTTTGCACAAACTGTTGAGCGGTGAACTCCGGCACAATTGTGTCCTACCAGAAGAGCGATCGCGGATTGCAGCCAGCCTTGTGATCATCTACAACAGGGGTGTCAAACTCATTTTTGTCGTGGGCCACATTTTAGTTACCGTTTCCCTTGGAGGGCCGCTATGACTGAAACCAAATAAAAAAAGTCAATGATAATTTATTCAACTGTTGTTTAAGTTACTGTAATGAGGGGTTTGGTTACAAGAAAATGGGTTACAATATGTGTTATTTATTACCTATGAGAATTTTAAATTTCGGTAGAGATTTTCGCGAGCATCATGGAAGTTAGCATGTTTGATTTGCTTTCGCGAGCCACATAAAATGATGTGGTGGGCCAGATCTGGCCCCCGGGCCTTGAATTTGACACCTGTGATCTACAATGAAAGAAAGACATTAGCCTTTGCTGATTGCAAGTCCCTGACTGTTATATTCTATATACAAGTATAAGCGATGCTATGCTAAGTTGTCTTGCAGATGTCTACGTTGCATTATTATTATTATTATTAATAATAGCTGAGGCGCTCTTGGGTAAACATCGACGTAAGCAGTGACGTTTGGACGCTTTACAATGATGTAATGAGCTAGCTCATACTTGGTTCTTTGCCGGTGGAAAATCAAACATGTTCTTTGTAAGAAGTTGTTCAGCACCAACTAAGCCCAGCAGTGGTGCCAAACGAGCACCAATATATTTTGGGTGGAAAAGGGGTAGGAGAGAACCTCTGAGGACCAAGACTTGCATAATCATCTTTCTGACAATCCTCCTGGGAAAACGCTTCATTAGTCATGAAGGTTGCCCGTGTTTAAGGGCCAATAAAAACACTGCTTCACAGAAGACATTTTTATCTCATACAGCCCACATTCCTCTTACCGAGAGGAAAATGAAGCTGACCAACAGCAACAGATCAGTAGTGTCTTTTACCGTAATGAAAGGTGGCAGTTTCTGTCAAACGATCCAATAATGAAAAGGAGAAAGTTCAGTCTTTATCCGCTTGCCTTGTTGTTGAGCTACAGTTCTAGAGTCCCGGGAGTGGTCTTAATCACTCCTCCTGGCCTTGGATTCTGTCCAGTAGATGACGCTCTACACGCTGATTCAACCTACGTAGACTTTTTAACAAACTGGGCGGGTCTTCCAGCTCCTCGATGAGGCAGCGTGCTATTTCCAAACTTCTATAGTCCTCTGGCCGTACCAGGCGTCGGATCACCTGAAGGGCCCGCTCCTTGAGGCTGTAAACTGTATAAACATGCAAGTTAAATATTGTACGCACTTGAAACTGATCATTTTCAAATTCAGGTGCCTTAAAATAAAACCTTAAAATCTGAGTTCTAATTTTAATCCGTTCAAGTATAGTGTAACATGATGATATTATTCTAGGGATGCACAGTAACTATCTGACCCATAATTACTGGCCCGACAATAGTTTAAAAATGACGTCACATTTCTCGGTCAATATCAGCAACATTTAGACTGTGTGTGTAAATGTACCTGGCAGAGTAATATTGACAAATGCAGCACTTCCACCATCTGCCAGAGCAGGCAGGAAGAGCTCTTTGCCGTTCACCCTCAACAGGTCATCACTCTCTACATCTTTGAACATCCAAGGGTGGCCTGAGTGAGTGGGAGGGGTCACAATCATAAACACACGTCAACAATATTCTTAAATTACACTCGTGATGCCTAACCACTATGCCGCAACACTCATCGGGTGTGTTGCGTGATGATCTGAAAAAGATCTATTTCACAGTCAGTCACCTCACTTTTACTTTGGGCTAAGGGTTACCTTACCGACATAGGTGTTCATTATTCGTCCCGTTCTGGGCTGCAAGTCGTTGTATGGCCGTGGCTCCCCACGGAAATCAATCCACAGTGGCTGGACCACTCGGGGACTGCGGTTGCAGAACACAAGACTCATGGGAATGCGAGTGTGGAGGGAGCGAACCAGAGGCAGAGACGCATCTCCATCTTGCGACATCTGAGCTGTTCGCCAATTAGCGCTAATGCTAACTTCTTCTCGGACTACGGCCAGCCACGTCGAGCAAACACTAACTAGACTCGAAAAACTAACAGGAACAAAAACTATCCGTCAGTTACTTAAGTCCACCTCCTAATTTGTAACATTTAAAACGAAAACATTTACACGGCCAAGCAGGAGAAAATGCGCTACCGACTTCCGCTTCGACTTGAATGTTTACAAGTTTCGCATATCCGGTTAGGAGTCACGTGATATCAGTCTTGTTCTTCTATGTAGTCGGGCGATTTGATGAAGACGTTACTGACGTCACTGGTCTGAGACCTGCAGTCTCACATTTATATCCTGTATAACATTTTGTGAACGTAAAGCTATTGACCTCCCTAACATTTCATGTTACAGCCTTGCTTTATTTTATTATTGTGCATTACTTAAATGTATTACTCTATAAAATGATTATATATGTATTCAGGATGCCAAAAATGAGTTTGTATTGACCTTTGTATTTATATCCTATCTTTTATGCCTCTCGTTTAGTTTTTATTTTATTGTTTGACATAACGTTAGCCTCATAACAGAATTCCCAAAGCCATTTCAAACTTATGTATAAAGTCCAGCTCATTTGCTTTCACTGACAATAATACTCAAATGCTCAAATTCTGCTACCCTCCTACAATATTTTTTCAGAAAACACACACACACACACACACACACACACACACACACACACACATACACACACACACACACACACACACAAAAAACAACCAAATACTGATTATTTAATGATCTCTTGCAGCACGCTAATGTGCTGTGGCATACTGGTTGGAAGTTGTTTTCTCCAGGTACTTCAGTTTCCTAAGTCAACTCAAATTGTCTAAATGTGTGCGTGACTGCGTGTGAATGCCAGAACTGGATAAGGTGCTGTATGAATGATTGAACTAAATGATATACTGTACATGAAACGGCCTGCACAACCTAATTTAACTTCTAACACTTCATACAAAGAGGTGTGATCTGTAAGAAAGAAGCTGTTGTGAATCCATCCATCCATCCATCCATCCATCCATCCATCCATCCATCCATCCATTTTCTGATCCGCTTATCCAATGTTGCGAATGATATAGACTTATCTCAACCCAGTTGACTCTACGGTGTGACATTTTAAACCCATGCCTGAGGTAATGATCACACCACCGGCATAACCACACCAAATTAGTGGCTGCATTTCAGAAGTATGATTCATGGCCTGAAGCTGGGACCAAAGATAGTTCAATCAAAAAATGTGTGAAGCGACATATATCGCAGCTCAGTCAACATCCTCCACAGACCAAAAATATATGCACAAGTACAGCTTCTTCAGTATATTTCTAAATGAGGATGTATGTGAATGTATGTATGCATCTGTGTGTATCTACGATATAGCAAAAGTCTACACACCCCTGTTCAATGCCTTGGCTTTGGTATGGTTTGTTTCCAAGATATTAAATATACCATTCAACATGGTGATGACAGTCATCATCAAGTGGGAAAAATATGGCACAACAGTGACATTGTCAGGAATTAAAACTCCAAAACTGATTTTTTTAAAATTTGAAGAAATATGGTCAGGGGACTGCTGAGAGACAACAACAACACTGAAGGAGCTGCAGGAAATGTCTGGTAAGTATTAAATTAAGTACGGCCACCATCTTCCTCATAAGTCTCGGCAATAGGGAAAGGGTGGCAAACGGGAAGAGAAGCCACACCTTACATAGAATAAAAACACACTTGAAATCGCCCAGATAAATGCTTCGCATTGCTGCTGGAAATGTGGTCTTTGTTAAGGTGAAGGCAAGTATCGTTCTATGTAGCAGTCAGTGTTAGTACAAAACCTTCAGGTTTACGCTACAAAGTAGAAAATATCCCAAAAAAGTCTCCTTGAACATAGCTGAACTTTATTTGGGGTTAATCAAACTATGTTGACACTGCTGACCGTGTGGCCAATTCAGATTTTTTGGGGGGGTTAAGTTTTATCTCCTTGTCTATATTCACACTACAAAACGAATGCGATTTCTAATGTGAACGGAATGTGTCTATGAAGTGATGTGCACGCATACAAAACGCGATGTTGCATGGTGCAGTGTTTACCGAAGTACGTAAATATGGGCATGCATGTCTCAATTTCAATCTTGAAAGATTTGTGGCATATTCAAGGATTTTGTGCTCTAACACTAACCAGTCCTCCAGATATTTATCAGTTCTAAGGCATCTTCTGTTTGCCACTGACGGTTTTCTGGGCTTTCATCCACCATTGTACTTTTTATATCCACTGTATCTGTCTTTCTCTGTAGCTGTCTCTCTATCATTACACATATCGGTTGTGTCTGTCATATGATAACTCCACAACACCTAAACCGATTAGACTTGACATATTAAGTTAGCTTTCTTAGATGTTTAAATGTACGGCATGGAGAAGATGTCTCAATACCCACTGTATAGCATCAGCTATAAATTGAATCTGTAAACAGAGAAAAAAAAATGCTCGGTTGCTTTAAAAAAAATACAAACATTACTTTGAATGTCTCAGCCTCACGTAAATCAGTGGAGCACTCACGCACACAAACGCACACACTCACGCAGACGCACGTACGTACACGTGCACACACTTGATGATTCCAGCCTGAGATCACACCCACTCTGCACCTCTGACTTAAGAAGTGGTGCAAAGGCAGCCACACAATTCTACTCGCGCAGCACACTTTGAAAAACAGCCGATTTGGCTTTTGAATATTTGCGTGCAAGCTGCGCTTTTGGTCACATACCTGCACGTCGGCCAGAGAGGATGTCACTGACAATCAACGACAGCGAGCAAGCGGATCCGAGAGACGAGACCCTGGCCAGGGTTGAGATCACCCTGTTGGCCATCATCTTCTCCAGCGCCGCCGTCCTGAACGGAATCCTGTTGCTGGTCCTGTGGCGCCAACGCAAGCACATGAGCCGGATGCGCGTATTCGTCTTCCACCTGGCCCTGGCCGACCTGGTGGTCACTTTCTTCCAGGTGTGCCCGCAACTCATGTGGGACATCACTGACAGGTTCGTCGGTCCGGACCTGGTGTGCCGCCTGGTGAAGTACTTGCAGGTTTTGGGCATGTTCTCGTCCACCTACATGATCGTGGCCATGACGGTGGACCGGTACCAGGCAGTGTGCAACCCCATGGTTAAGTTCCAGCGGACGCACCGGCGCATGAGTGCGGCTGTGTGCGCGGCGTGGGGGGTATCCTTAGTGGGCAGCCTGCCCCAGGTGTTCATCTTTTCCCGTGTGGAGGTGGCACCCGGCGTGTTCGACTGCTGGGCCAAATTCGTCCAGCCGTGGGGGCTCAAGACCTACATTACGTGGACCACGGCGGTCATCTTCGTGGTGCCCGTCATCACTCTCGTCTTCTGCCAAGTGCGCATCTGCAGGGCCATCCAACAAAACCTGCGCCGCAAGCCGCGGCGCGGTCTGGCGGGAGCTCTGCCCCCGAGATCCAGCGGCGCAGCCGGCATGTCCAAAGCCAGGGTGAAGACCCTCAAGATGACCGTGGTCATTGTGGTGGCCTACGTGGTGTGTTGGTCTCCTTTCTTCACCGTCCAACTGTGGTCCGCATGGGACCCCAACGCGCCCAAAGAAAGTAAGTGGCACTCCATCCAAAAGAATTGAAATTAAATGAAATTAAATCAATCGTAGCTGGGAAAATGTAAAAAAATGCATAAAATATGTACATTAGGGCGCCATGCCCCCCACGTGAGGCACGGATCTCTGAACATAAACAAGTATTTTTTTAAATGCAATTATTTGATCATAGTAGACAATTTTGTGTTGTGAAATACCAATGTTGAGGTGTTTATGAGATGGATGAATGAATGGTATGATTTTGTCTGACTAATGTGAGCAAAAGTAGTGATGTCATTATCTCGACGATCAGTTTTCGGGCATTGGGCGATGTTTAGTTTCCTACACGTTGCCCCCTGGCACAATGGCAGTACGGCAAGGGGGGAGGGACATATTACATTGGGGTCAGTAACTAAAAGGTCGTTTGAAGCTCTTCCATCAGACATACACAGGGTTCACAAACCCTTTGGATATGTTGATACGGATTGTTTTCCTCTTCTTTTTAAAATATTATTTTTACATTTTATTTCTGGCACAGACATTGCCTTGAGCCGGGTGGCTTGTTTCCGAGCAATATATCAGGACGTCCTCCATATTGGATGTGGTCATCGGATTGGCCATAAAATGTGCAAATTATAGTCATAAACTTGTGTTAGAATGATGTAATACAATCAAAAGCAATGTTTCAGTATTAATCACTTGAGCCGGGCGGCCTGTTTCCGAGCAATATATCAGGACGTCCTCCAATCGGATGTGGTCATCGGATTGGCCATAAAATGTGCAAATTATAGTCATAAAATTGTGTTAGAATGATGTAATACAATCAAAAGCAATGTTTCAGTATTAATCCCATGAATTCTGGCTTGGTGAAGCATCTCCGACAAGCAAGTGAACAAGGCACACGTGGAATTTCCTGACGACTTTGTCCCAGCTCCTACCTTAGCAATAAACAACTTGAAGCCTCCTTTTTTTTCAAAGAATACAGTGCTTGTATTTCAAGTTTACAGACCTAAGACAATTAATACATTGATAATTAATTAAGGTTGCACAAAAATCTAATCATTTCTGCACCCACTGCTGTATTTGAGCTCAAGTCAAATGAGGTGATGCCACTGTCACCTATAACAACAATAGTGTCAAGCAAAAAAAATGAGTATTAATATCTTTGCAGAGTTTGAATTTTTGATCCAGCTCCAATCTTGTGAAATTGTGCAGGTGTACCTAATGTTGTGACCCATTGTCACTGCAGCCGCCACGTTCACCATCCTGATGTTGCTGGCCAGTCTCAACAGTTGCGCCAACCCCCTCATCTACCTCCTCTTCAGTGGTCCCTTTCCTCGGAGGCTTCTCGTGCCGGTGTGCCAGCGGCACTCCTTCGCCAAGGACTCCACACACGATGAAGCCACGCTGGTCAGCACCTTCTACACCAGTTTTAAAACCCTCGCCAATGACAAGTGAAGAAAGCGTCTCGGGGGAGGAAGCAGGTGAGGCAGTGTTGACGCCTGGTGCATGCCAAGCAGATGCTAATCCTCCAGGGTCTCTCTGGACTGGCAAGATATCATTTGTCAGTGACACACGATATTTTAAATACAGCATCTCTCAGCTAAGCACAAGTGGGTGGCCTGCATGGGGAAGTGTGTTCCAGATGCAGGATGTTGAACAAACACAAGACGAGGGCAACTGTGCCTGAGTGAGGTGCCAGAAAAGAAAAAAAAAAGTCTGTATTAACAATCATGTTCCATTCCTTTGTTATGGTGAACTCAAGTAACAGAACATTCAGCAGACATCCGCACAACGAAGAACCAATACAGTAGTGCCCTGAGATACGAGTTCCGTTTTTTTCCAGTGGCCATGCGCTGAACTCAAAACAATCCGATCAAAAATAATCTCTCTCCTTTGAAGGGAATTGAAATGCCGTTACAGTAATCCGCCTCCATTGAAACGGTTACGTTCCAGACCCCCTCAAAAAGTGAATTCTGTTATATAGATATATCCTATTTAATGACACCCTCAGCATGTTTTTACAGTATTTTCAACACTTGTTTTTTTAAAGGTCTTGAAACACATTTCTGAAATGATACAAACACATTAAACACACATAAGAGTGAGCAAGAACAATGGATAAAACAAAATATTGTACATCATCTACTGTACCAATCCTTCAATTTTACTGTAAACAAATCCTGTTTTTTTTCCAAACGAACGAACGTATCATCTCACAATATACATCAATAATCATGCCCAAAGATGTACAATATAAAATTAACCTTTAGTTGTCACTTTCTGTAGGCATAAAAAGCAGGATGCCGCAGATGACTTTCAATAGCACTGGTCAAGAAATACAGAAAACCTAAACTTTTCTAGATGTTTTATTTTTTTTAGTGCTGATTCCAAATCTGCCATTTTTTGTCTCAAGCACACCAGGTTTTTATAATAATTCTTCTTGTTATTATTATTATATAAAATAATACAATATATCATATGCAAGATAGTAATATTTAGTAATATTTATGAATTAAGGATTAGATTCGCCAACAGATGATTTTTTTTTAAACGTCATAACTATAAATTACAACAGCATGTTAAAATCCATATTGCTAAGTTTTTATATGTCAAAGTTAAAAAACAAAAAATGAAACGATCTCAAAAACATAATTTCCCAGAGAAAGTAAAGACTTAATCAAAATCAGTGTCAAAAATAAGTTTAGGGACACCTAAAGCCATTTGATTCAAATCTGCTGTTTCCACTGTCATTTTCAACAAAAACTAAGCTGTGTAGAAACTTAAAAGACCATTTCCTGTTTGGTACTTCTTTCAATTTTACACCGTTCCAAACTAAATAATTGTGCTGTCGGCTACTTGTACTTGTATCTTGCAAAACTTGGAAGTTGGGTCCCTCGTATCTCAAGGCTCCACTGTCCCGTACATTTATCAAGACACAATGAATCAAGCATGAGCACTATTAGCAAAAAAGCTGCATTTTTGACAACTTGATTATTGGACCATATTACATGTCATGTCATGTCTCGTGAGAGTAGGGCATGGTAGCCCTACGCATGATTTACTGTATACTTAAACTATGAAATTGACATGTACCAAATAAACTTGTCTCATATCGTGATTGAGTCTTTTTTTTTTTTTTTTTTGGTATGACTGTCACTAGGGTTTGAGAGATTCTCAAGTTTATTTATTTACTTTTGGTCGCAATTACCTTATCATTAATTTTGATCATTTAGTCTCAGATGTGGAGCTCGAGTGGATATAAAATCGTCACACCCCGGTAGAAATGCCAGGTTTTTAAAATATCGAAAATGAGACCAAGATAACATATGAAATGGGAGTCAGTACACATCCGATTCAATTTAAAGTGGCTCTTCTTGACCCCCAATAAAGTTCAGCTGTTCTCGTCTGCTGTTTTTTTTTTTCATAGACTTTACTGCTAACTGGCAATTTGAATAATTCCTTCAGCCTTGCCTATGGCTAAAAGAAAAACAGCCCCAAAGCATGATGCTAGCACCATGCTTGTACTATAGCTACAGTGTTTTTTTTTTTTTTTTTTGAGATTATCGGCTTTGACATTTTGCATTGTCATCATTTAGGAAAGTGGACTTTCAGGAAAAGTTATGTAGTTGGTTTAAATACACAAATCTTTGTTTTAATATAGAGTTTGACAATAAATGTCAACTGGGAGTGGCATTAAAAAATATATATATAATTAATACAAATCGGCCGAACGCTGGCTTGTGTCCCGAAAAACTCATGTCAAGTCAGTTGTATCGCAAGGCTCCAGTGCAGAATTCTTCTGCTAGGCCATGAAAGCATTCCTTCGGAAAAAAAAAAAAAGATGTGACAGTGGAGTAAACACACATCACCAACCAGTTTCATCGAGCACGGGAGTTTACTGGAGGGAAACAAGCACTAAAACCAAACAAAGACAGCTTTGTATTTATGTTAGGCTAAGACAAATGTACATGTGCTGCGTGTCCACAACTCTGTCTAAAAGCCGCTCGGCTACAAATGCTCCTCGTGGAGGTAGACTCATGTTTAAGTCATCGGGGAGGCCCGGTGCGCTGCATGTGTCTTATCCCAGCCACGCAAGGCGTGTTTAGAACCTCACTGCCCCATGCCGACAATCTCTTTCCGCAACGTACGGTTTAACAACTGCACATTACTCCAAGCCGTACTACCCGAAAGCCTTTTACTTCTGTCGAACAAAAAACAAATGTGCGGAGTGGAAACTTTAAAGCCGAACGATACCGAGGTCGTCCAAGCTGGGAGCTCAGTTCAGCGAGCGTTTAAGTACTAACGCTACACATAAACAAACGAGTGAGCGGTGTGTTAAGGGAAGAAGAAAATGAAAAGAGAGCGAGGAAAATACACCAGGAATTATGTGAAGTCGAAAGGCTCCCGTTTTCCTATTTGCACTCATTGCAAAGTTGCGGTCGAGTGTTTCATTGTTTTTACATTCAGATTCAGGTAACTTTACATATCCTCGCAGGGCGAGTTTACAGTTTCACATTATATTTTTACAGTGCTAATAAAGGTTTTTATGTCTGCGACAGTTTGATTATTTCATATGGGGAAAAATAGCTTTAAAATGGCTCCTGGAACAGTACGTTCGACGTTAGAGGTTCCACTCTTACACTCAATTAAAATGCTTGAATAGAAATGAATATTCAACCTGTAGGTTGAAACTAAATGGCAGCATAATAGCCACGAAGACAGCAGATGCTGCGGCGACTGTACCGCAAAAAGTGGCATAAATACAGGAGCAAAAACATGATTTTAACGACGGTTCTTTCCATTTTTGAAATAGCCATGTTGACATACCCGTAGGTCGTTCCTCGCATGTTTTGTTTTGGAGGAGAGTCACTCAACATGTGAATACCACAGACTCTTCATTTCCCATTTAGAAAATGATAAATATGGCACAGTCTGACATGATAAATTTTTGCGGAGTGCAGTAGTTTCAGTTCAGTGCAGTCAACATCCCAATTAGTTATGAGCGCGCTTAGCCAGCACCGCCCTGCAGATGATCACATGACATGTCTTGGCCAATCAGTGCTGTGGGAAATTTAGTTCGCTCAGTGGTCAGCGTGACTGTTGTGATAGTATGTCGTACAATTAAAAAAAAAAAAAAAATGTATACTTATCTCTTGAAATTTTACTTTTTTTCGTATCTTGAATTTGTTTAAAAAATCATATATATATTTCATTATTTTCATAATTTTAATTTAGTTGCATATTAACTGGTTGGGTTCGGTACCTCTAAGAAGGTGAAGAACCACTGGGTTAGACCATCACAAGGGTTTAAAAAAAAATAGGGGAGGTGGCACTCAACTCACATGAGACCCACTCTGATGTTTTTTTTTTTTTTTTGAAAACAAAAATCCAAAGGTCTTTGGATGCCAACACAGTACATGTATTCACATTCCAAGCGATGGCGCATGTTGCACTCGATGCAATTTTAATTGAGATCATGTAAGAAACATGAACCAGCATCTCGCGGAACATTTTGATGATGCTTAAAAGAGCAGCTGTGCAACCTCAAGGGAACACCGTCACATCATGGACTTAGTCAGGACATCATTTTAACAATCATGACCGCGCTGTACATTTCTCGCTTAACGTTCAGCAAATGATTCAACAGCCGGAAGGATTTTAAATGACGGCTGAATTCTCTTTTCATACTTTGTCGAAATGTAGCCCGTGACCTTCAAAAACGGTCATGGCTGCCACTGGAGCACAAAGCGCACTCGATTTAGAGGTCCTGGCATGAAGTCGTTTCCAACTTACTGGCATACAAAAATACAACAGCTTGACTTCTAAGATTCGAAAATGTCAATAGAGTCAGCTTGCGCAGAGTCAATGAGACATTGCCAATAAAGACAGGCATCAATAAAGCAAAAAAAGAAAAAAAAAAAGCTCTCTCAATGGGAATTCTGAGAGACTGTTTGCTCAAGCTCCAAAACCTTCCACCATGCGGAGGACAACAGCCGCAGGGCCCATGAACGACACCCATTTTGACATTCTATCAGTGTGCCTACGAACAGCTGGACTGACGCGCGCACGACGGAGCGGCATGCTCAAAGGATCACGAATGGGGAAGCGTGTCTCTTTTTGTCTTCACCAGTGCATCCACATATAAAGAACAACCTGCCCTTCTCTCCTATTGCGTATGCTGCTCAAGTGCCATGTAAAGGTTGGATGACCTTTCCGCTAATATGATGGATTTACTGCCACGGCTGACAGCGCGTGATGTAGTGATTACTTGGGAGGCAACACAACCAGGCAGTTATTACACGACGGGGGACAGGAGGTCATATGTCACAGGCAGAAGAGTCGCGAGCCGTCCCGCCCGTCCTCGCCCTCGTCGGGGGGGATGCGGGGGAGCAAGGCCGAGCGAGTCAGACCCCAGAAACGAGGTGGAGACAAGTCCTTCTTGGTGGCGGTGAACTTCCAACCCATGTGAGAGCCGCAGCATCGGCATTGGGCAATTGTCCAAGCGTACCTGAGCGGAAGAGGGAAGCCCAATTCAGAATCCATCCAGACAGCGTTTCCTCACTATCCTCTATAAAAGGTGCAAGGGAAAATTCGCTGCCCCCTTAATCTAATAACTGGTCAAATGAAGTTGCTGTTTTTCTTTTCCTATTTGAGTTTTTCACATCTCTGTGGAGCTATTTTGGCCAATTCGATTGCTTTAATTTAGCAACACCGAAAGGTTTTGGAGCACAAATGCAACATTACAAATGGATTCAAATCTAGACTTTGACTAGGCTATTCCAAAACCTTAATTTTGTTGTTTTTTTTAAGCCATTCAGAAATTAATTTGCGGCATCTACACAGACTTGGATGTGGACAGGAGTCCCGTCACAAAAACTACTATATCGACATATCATTCGATACGTAAACTGGACGATAGCTTTTTTTCCCCTCCATGATAAATTTCCATTTACATGCGTGTTTATTTACACATCATCAACATTCAGTTGTGCTGATTCGTTCCTTTCCTATGAGTCAACGTGCTCACCGTTGTGGGAGATGGAACTCACGCACCCGCAATGACAGATGGCGTGAGCAGGGGTGAAGCAAAGGGAGTTCGAGTACCAGAAAAGAAGTTTTCTGACAGCTGTAGTTGCGCAATCACCCCCAAAAAAAGTTGAGTGTGATAAATGAAGTCTGTTCCAACTCCTATGCTGCAGCCATGTGGGAACATTCTGGATTCAATCCAGAGAAGACGCGGAAAGCGCGCAATCAACTGGGATGTCGCATTTGTGTGAAGAAAGTCGCAAACTCAACAAAGCTTAAACTCCATTTAAAAACAGCCATTCAAGCCAGTTTCTTCACTGGGAACAAAAGACACGACGGGACATGGAGGTCGTCCATTTGCCGACAGCTTGCAATTATAACGCCTCATTGATTGTGTTACCCGCTTTATAGCAAATGAGATGCAGACATTGAACGGTGTTGAGGAAGCAGCCTTTATATGAATTAAAAAAAAAAAAAAAAAAAAAGATTTCCCAAACAGCCATCCCAGCATTGTACAATTAGGTGAAAGAGGACTTTCTCTGAAGGAGATAAAAGACAGCTCATTTTAGTCCACCTCTGCAGTGATTGTATATCATGTTAATATAATTCCATCCATCCATCCATTTTCTGACCCGCTTTATCCTCAGAAGGGTTGCGGGACGTGCTGGAGCCCATCCCAGCCATCTTCGGGCAGTCGGCGGGGGACACCCTGAACCGGGTGGCAGCAAATCGCATGGCACACAAAGACGAACAACGAACCGCGCTCACACTCACACCTAGGGACAATTTAGTGTTTAATCAGACTGCCGTGCATGGTTTTGGAATGTGGGGGGAAACCGGAGTACCCGGAGAAAACCCACGCAGGCCCGGGGAGAACATGCAAACTCCACACAGGGAGGCCAGAGCTGGAATCGAACCCGGTACCTCTGCACTGTGAGGTCGACGCGCTAACCACTCAATCACTGGGCCGCCCTGTTAATATAGTTCATTTAGTTAATTTATTGTTATTATTATTCTTTTTTTTTGTGAACAGAACCTGAATCTGTTTTGGTTATATTTTCACTTTTCTACGATATTTTATTTATTGCTCTGCATTCCAATGTCAGTGTTCAACAGTCTTGAGAATGAAGTTAACGGCGCTAAATAAAGGATGTACTCAAATTTTTATGCTTTAATATTGTTCAATCAGTGGCATTAAAAAATAAATAAACATGAATCCTATTGTTTGTTGCAATACTTTCTGAGAAGTTATATCATCCGGAAAAAAAAACCTTTTATCGTGACAGCCCCTGTGGACATCTTAAATGGAATGACAGCGTGATAAATTAGCCAGCGAACATGATTTTGAGATGGTGTTGGCACAACGGCATAATTGCACACCTATAACTATAATTATTGCTTCTGGTCACTTGAAAACGGTGCAACGATTATTTGCGCCAACTGCACAGCCGTCATAGTATTGTATCGCGCCATTGATCACCTTCTCTCTGCTCAATGACTGCACATTGTCGCACAGCTGTCATCGGGTGGTACTACTACTCAATGGTATCCTGACATTCCGGAAAGTCTTTCCACACTTGTATTTCATGTCTTAGTTTGTCGTAGTTGCTTGTTATTGCAATACTAGTGTAGCTCATGCTATTGGAGAGAAATTCCTTGTGTGTTTCGACATTCTTGGCCAATAAAGATGATTCTGATGCTTATAGCAAGATCATTTATAATGCCAAGTAACCAACTTGCAAAATGCGAGGATGATGATGATGATGATGATGATGATGGCTTTCTGTATTAATCATGCCGTGTGCTACTTGGAAGTTGCAAAGCTAGTAAAAGCTAGATGACACGTCTGCGTCAGACAGTTTTTTTGTATTAACTTGTCACAGCGGGGTGCGGGAGCTGCAAAGAGCGAGTTACCCTGGAAACCAGCTGTGCAGTGTGGACGGCCTGCCGACCAAGTTGAGGTTGTTTGCCTTGTAGACGGTCAGAGTCTCGTGGACGTAACCGTGGGGATTGACATAGGCAGCCATGGGGCCATACAGAGACAAGCTGAAGGATGACACGCACAATCAGGTGGGGGGAGAAAACAAAGGTTGTATGAAACTGCAAATGACATTTCACAGAGACCTCGGTCGCCTAAAATGTTTTCTTTCAGTATTCCAGTGATAAAAGCAACAGCTTCCCTTCCTTAGTTACCCACTTGAAAAGAACATCATCCATTTGATAGGTTTATGTCACATGTTTCTGCCAGACCTGGCTCTCCCTTTTTTTCAATTGGCTGAGGAAGGCTGACTACATTTTTTTTCCCATGCGGAGGGGCATTAATGTGTAACATATGAAGTGGAAGACATATTCTGTAACTGGCTCACGGGCTGGCCATACACCTAGAACGGAAATAAACAGCGCAGCTCAGCTTCTGGCTAGCAGACGTCACGGCTTGCGCCGTGCTGTTTGGCAGAACGTCACTCTTTGAAATCACTCGGATGTGAATAGCAACGCAACCTGAAAAAATAAAAGTCGTGCGGTACTAGAACTTCCAGGAGAATTGAAACAGCCTCTCCTCTCGGCTTTTCAGTTGGAGCCAAAGAAATAGGGAATGCCATTTTTTTGGTGTTTTCTGTTTGTGCTGGAGAAAAGTTTGACACCCCTCATTTAAGATGGAGCTCCACCTTAAAAGTCAACACCGAACGAAAAACTTCTTCTAAACGTGTAACCAGTCATTGAATGTTAATTATTCGAGATGGTTTCAAGTTCCCGAAGTTTGGCTCCGGTGCGTGTCTGGACAGTTTCAAGAGTTTGACACAAATGAAGTGTCACGTCGTTGTTACATAAGGTTGGGCCTTATTATGATGAAACTTCAGCTTCCCGGGAAACTAATAGCCTCTGATGTCGCTGTAATTTGGCTGATTGCAGCCATATACTGTAGGTTGGCTACCCAGAAGTGGCCGAGAATTAAACTTGAGATGGGTTCAAGCTGACCAAGAGCAGGTAATTAGGAGAAATGACTGTCTGCAAAGCGCAATCGCGAAGTCGACGGCAAGGTCTTCATCACATAATGACACCTTAGTTATTAACCCTTTCGAGTACAGCGGTTACTACAGCAGACAGCTTATCATGTTATCAGGTTGCAGGCTGTCTTTACGGTTGCACGAAAGAGTTGATAATTCCATTTCACAAGCACCTAATTCGTCTCTATATTTTCCACCAAATGGAGAAGTGACGCTATATTCAGATCTGCCAAGCAGTATTAAATCTTCAGAAAGTGCGACATTTGATACGGCGAATGAATGAAAATGACTTTCAGAGGAAGGGTTAATACTATTTGTCCAATTTATAGCTTCAGGTGATGAATAACCTCTTGTCAAAACGTGATCAAATAAACGTTATTTTCTGCTGTCCAACACAACGGAGGGCCTTCAATAACCCGTCGAGCACGTGCTGCCTCACCTGAAGATCTCATTTTTGGTGGTGATTTCTGTGTCTTGGCACTGCTTGCAGCACAGTGATGTGCACTGAGGAGGCAAGAGAATGGTTCGTTAAATAAATAATTCGTTAAATAAATAAATAAATAAATAAAATGAAAAAAAAGAAAGAAAAAAAGAAAAAGCCGTCTTCCACAGTACTGCCACCGGGTCAATAGAATCCACCATCTAAGAAAAAGGATCACATGGTACTTCAAGGTAAAAATAACTCTGGAGTCTAAGTTAGGGAGCATTGCGGGCGTTCAGGTCTCGCTTCACGCATGTGTGCATCACCTCTAGCTGAGTCCAAGAATAGCCAGGGTAGCTTTGAAAGTGAGCATAATATGTTCCCATTAAGTCTTCCTATTACCTTCGATCAAAGGCTGTGGTCACTGACGGGCTGACAAAGGATGTCCATATTGTAGTGCTTTATGTTCGAGCTTCAGCGGGATAATGACAACTATTTATTTCTTTTTTTCCCCCTCATGTGTAAGAGCTTCTTTAACTGACACCGACCTGGGCAATTGATGAGCATTTGTGACTGCTGCTCCAAAAAAAATAAAATGACACAAATGTATATTTGATGCAACGATATGTTAAAATTTCAAAATACAAACGGCGATGTTATTTCAATTCATGAGAATAACCCAAATAGAATTTACAGAAAAGCAGTCGTTCACGTGACACTGCAGCGCAGCTTTGAAAACATTGGTTGCCATATGAAATTGATGATGTAAGCGATGAGCAGAGGAAGCTGACTGTGAGCCGCGTATCACTCGTCAAAACATGGAAATCTTGCATTATTAAGTTGACAAAACTTGGAGGTCCCACTTTAAAAATGAGCAGCAGCCAAATAAAATTCAATCTATATTCACACTTTACCAGATATGGATGACATTAAATTACTGGTTGCAAATGAATACGCATAAGAAATCAAATTATATGACTAGTACAGTTGTCATTTATAGCGAATTGATCTTAAAATACAAAACAACCTTAAAGACTTAAAAGAAGGCATATGATGAAAACTGTACATTTTGTTGGCATCCAGACTCGAACCTCTACCAACTGGTTGCAAACCAAAATGAATGAATGAGGATGTGGGGTGCTTTAATTGTAATTTTTATTTTTTTTACCCGATCCATTATGTCCAACTCGCAGCGAAGCCTCTGAATGGCACTGCCGATTTTCAGCAGCTGCAGCCGGAGCGAGTCGTCTATGGGCAGACAGGCCGCCACTCTGTAGGAGAAGTCTGATCGTAACCAGACAAGAGGGGGGAGGGGGGAAAGGTGGGGGTGAAAGCGAGGAAGGAAGGATAACACAAACAAAGAGACCGATTGCGTGCGTGCGGCTACATTATGGTGCAATAAACAGAGCCGGGGGGGGAGTTGGGGTGGGGGGGCTGACCTATGGCGTTCGTAGGGAGAGAGTCATCCTTCAGATTTTCGTCCCACTCGTGGAGTTGCTTCTTCACTCGGTTCATGAGGGACTCCTGCGGGGAGGGAGGAGACCACATGGTTGACATTCACATTCAAATTGCCGATCTTGGCTTGATAAAAATGACTGGTCGCCGCTTACAGATTCATAGAGGGTGTAGACCCACGGAGGCCAGCGGGTCAGAATGGCACAGCGAAACTTCCTCTGGGATAACCAACAGACGGCCATTAAGTGGAAAAATATCAGACCAAACAGTGTCAAATAGATGCTGGCACTGCAGTGGAACCCGGAAGTCCATTCTGGGATACAGGTCAACCTCCAATTTATTTGAATTTGGGATCAATGTGCCCATTGGGATTTCATAAACATTTTTTTCAATTCATCCATGCTGAGGTCAAATACAAACCAGGAAACATTCATGACTGAAACTGGAATTTATGTGAATTCCTTTTTTCTAGAAAATCACTTTTTTTTTTTTTAACATTTTTTTTAATTCATCCATGCTGAGGTCAAATACAAACCAGTAAACATTAATTACTGAAACTGGAATTTATGTCAATTCCTTTTTTCTAGAAAATCACGTTTTTTTTTTTTTTTGAACATCAAGTTTTTTGGAGATACTTTCATTTTTGGACATTTGACGTTGGTGGTTGCACTGGAGTTCATTTTAAAGACTTCCCGACTGGGCAATTAAAGTATATTAAATGTAGATTTTACCTGTTGGTAGTTATTCCACCAGCATTCGGCCTGCTTGCAGCTTTGAGTTGAGGGCTTGGAGGAAGGGTGCACGACCAGCCTGGAGAGGGGCGTTAGCTGAACTGCAGACAGAGGATCAGGAAGGATTCGTTCTGGAAGGATCTGGACTTTGGCCTGTCGAATCCTGAACAAAAAAGAAAAAATAAATCATATCGTTTACCGAAAATGGTTCCACTTTTAGACGGTAAAACAGAACACGTGGGAAGAATTCGAGGGATCACTGTGGGGGTAAAAAAAAAAAAAGCTCAATTTAGGAAATTTGTACTAGAATGAGAGCTTTGCCACCACACTGGAGCCACTTGCAGTATGGCAAAAGTTCAACAGGATAACTTGGTACAGGGTCATTTGTGAGCATTATAGGCGCCACTAGCAACGAGCGGAAATGCGTCCTGATGAGCGGTGAGCCTCACCGGCTTCCTAAAAACGTTTGTAATCAGGACAGACATCAGGACGACGACATGCTAGAGGGTTATTTTTTCTCATCGATGCCACTGAGGCAGACGGTGCAGGAAGCAAGGAGGATAATTAATGCTAACAAACTCATTGCAAATATTCAAAGGGACACAAAAAGTGCAACTGACATTCAAAGAATATTTTCCAGCAATTTTAACCTCCGGTGTGTTCTTACGTAACACAAAACAGGAGCGACTCAAGGTGACAGGTCAAATGAGTTCAAACCAACTGGAGCAAAGTTCTGGAGTAGCATGTGTCTGCCCTCTAGCTGTCCCTTGTAATAGCAGCACTTTTCCATTTGCATGCTCTCCCCAGTCATGATAATTGCATGCACAAATCAGAATTTAACAGTCCATTCAGACCAGCGAGCTGGGCTTCAAGTGTCAATTACACCGACTACAGGGATGGGTCCTTGAATTAATTATTAAGCTATACTCATTATTATTTATACAAAGTGAGGGTGGGCATTATTTTTTATGTGCCCAGATTCCTAATTTTGTATGTTAAAATTAAATATAGTGGATGGCTGTCGTCATTTCAAATAAACATTCCCCATCGCCAAGTAGTGTGAATTTGTTCCGAGCTCCAACTGTCATCATCATGAAACTTTTAAGTGCAGATGCAATTATATATATAAAAAAAAAAAAAAGCGTCAATTTTAACAATTATAAAGCGCTGTAAAATAAAACTAAGTGAAACTACTTAACATTTTAAGAGCCCGAGTGACACATGCCTGAACAAGCATGTTTACAAAACGATACTGCCGTCTAGTGGTGATGATTAGATTGAGTTGAGACCTACCGGTAATTTGAACCAAAAAGAAAAAAACAAAACCCAATTCAAGAGTTAATACTTTGCGGTCAAGGAACGGTCCTTGACCGCAAAGTTCCTCTTTTTGAGGAATAGTTCTCCCACCACAAAATGACTGAACTCCATTTGTACATTTAACAGATATAAAGTTTGGTTCGTGATTTATGAGACCATTCCAACATACCCATCTGCTTGAGTTCTTATCTCGTGGACTTTGAATCTCTGCCTGCCCACGGCTTTCACTTTGACCGTCTCGATGCCGTACTCTTGCTCCACCCGATATGCGTAGATCTCTGCTGTAGTTCCGAATTCTGCCTCTGGTTCACCTGGATCACTGCAAAATGCAATGTACAGTGGTGTACTAGAGCAAACTGAAAGAGGCGTTCTCCTGATATAATAGTGAGGTGGAGTCCTAAAAAGACTGGGACAATGAAGCTGACTAAGGAAGGTGCGTATCGCCAATTAACTGCACAGTCACGTCACTGCCGTAGCAACTTCTCTTTTGTCAAGTTTTTGTTTTTCATCTGTGCAAAATAGCAATTCAGATTTTTTTTTAAAGGGGATAATTTCATTATATTGTGCAATGTATTTGTGCTGCATCAGTGAGAGGGCTTTCACTGTCATGAATGCGCATCTGGCATAGATAAGGGTCCAAAACGATTCAAGTAAGAGAGTGTGTGCATTGACCGTCTTCCAACATCGATTTCATTTTGTGTGTGTGTGTGTGTGTGTGTGTGTGTGTGTGTGTGTGTGTGTCATTGGAAATGCGGGATTTTGAATGTAAAAAGTTTGTTACAAATATTCTTTTCATAAGTTGATTATGCTTGCAGGCGGGGGTATTTTTTTTCATATTCATTCTGTACAGCAGGCTTGCTGTCTTAATACTGCCCTGGAGAGGCGATTATGCACTTTTCATTCATAAATTTTTGCTTTTATGACAATGGTTAAGTCAAACTAGTCAAGATTAGCAGTGTGATGAATGTATCGTTATATTTTGTTTTTATTACTGTACTACCAAAGGGGCTTCATTTTTTAGTGTCTCACTTTAAGCTGTAAAAAAAATTAATCTTTATGATGACAAAGTCATCGAAAGCAATTATGGCGCAAATGGAGAAAGTGAGGTTTACCACCTGCTAACATTAGATACTCTCAACGTTATGTTTCATTGAAAGAAAATGGGGAAAAAAAAGCTCTTGAGATCCACCAAGATTTACGGAGCCCCGGACATGACCTGGGAATTTTCTTTTAATTGTGGCCACTAAGTAGATATAAGATGCACACAAAATACTAAATTGTGGTCATACAAATTTGTGGCAATAAATTGGGGCGGGGGGGGCAACGGATAGATATTGCATAGGGTGCCATTCAGGCTTGCCTGGCTGATTCTATTCAGTGCAAGTCATTATAGTAAAGTAAGAATAGATAGCATACACTAGTTGCGTTGTGAAATATGGGTTCATGCCGTTATGCAAGGTACACCCATATATATTGTAGCTATAAAGAATTCTAAGTATAGTTTTAAATAAATAAAATAATAAATATGTGCGGTGATCATTTGGACTTCATCATTGTATAAGTAGCTCGCATACTGAAAAAGTGTGGGGACCCCTGATCTCAGGTTTCGCAGCATCTACTGTCATATTTTTAACACCCCCGCCCCTCAATATTTCAAAATGATATGATTACTTGAGGGGAGGGGGGAGGTTGTGGGGGTGTAGGGAGCACAGAGCAGCATATGAGTGAGCTGGCCATGTACCTGTGTGCCAGCACAGCAAAGGTTCGATCCCTCTGTATGACACTCCTCATCATGCTGACCTCCTGGGGCCTAAAGAGCTGCAGAGGCAGAGTCTGCCCAGGCACCAGCATGACAGCAGTGTGTGGCAGCACAGGAATAGTTTGACAGCTGTCATCGTCGTGGACGGTCCGGCCGTGAAATTCCTCCATGTCCGAGCCCAAGTACTGTCAACACATGAAAGCGTTGAGACTAACAACGAGTGGTAAAAACAAAAGTATGAAGGCGTTTAGTCACTCACAGCGTGTGAAGTAGGCAGACTAGGATCGAAAGTGATAATGCTTGGCTTCGTTGTCTCGTCATTGTCTCGGTCTTCAGTCTCCATGTCATCTTCCTCCTCGTCCTCCTCCTCCTCCCCGTTGCCTGTTATGGCACAGCAAGAAATACAAGTCACCGAAGAGGAAAACTACTCCGAGCTAGGATGAAAGCAGCCGAAGAGGGTGTGTTGTGACCGAATATTGCCCTTTATTGTCATATAACGAGCCAAACTGTGAGCCGGAAACAATTTGTTCCCAAAAGACAACGAGCAAATAATCCTTTCAGCCGGCGAGTTGACCGCTTACCTGGAAAGAGCTGTAGCTGGTTGCCCATATTGTCGTTAACGTTGTCTTCGCCTCCACCCCTGTCGTCAGCCATAGCCTTGTGTTTACAATGCTAACTCTACTTCGACCGTGTGCGACACGGCATCGCACTGGCTCAGGAGCGCCCCCCTTCGAGATGGCTGACTACTTAAATGAACGCAAACGGATGGCCAAACGTTTCCCCACTGACAGCCACATAAAATGGAAACAAATGTTTTTGAAACGTGCTAAAAATCAACCCCTGGCTTAAAATTTTGCAAGCTGCGGTGCTTTGCAAATCTGGGGTTGGGGTAATGGACTTCTTTACAACCAGATTCAACGTGTGTGAAAAGGAGTATACTGTATACGTCAAAAGGTTGAGCTGGTTTCTGCTCGCCACTTTGAGCTCCATCCATGACCATGCCGCAAACCTCAGTCAACTGTCATTCAGCCATTAAATTGGTGGTTTTTTCTGCAATGTTAAATGTTGAATATATTTGTGAGAAATGTTGGACACCCAACAGTATAGTAGTGTTTTGTTTCAGTGACATTATTTCTAAATAAGAATCCATATTAGTTGATGTCCACGTTATCAGCGAGGCTTACAGCATAAGATAACTTGACTTTATGCTTTGCCCCGGTTTCACGGAACCTTGCCTCCACCATTCCCCCAACAGCTTTGAGTTGAAACATTGTAATTGGATTTAAACAAATTTTAAAAATGCCTCATCCTCAACCACAGAAAAAAGCTGACCATCTTTAATGATTATGTCAAGTGCGTCATCCAAACGCTGTTTTTTTACTACTACTTACCTTATTTGGCAGTATAAGATCAAAAACGATCCCAACCTCTTGAACCTCCCGTTCCACCAGTAGCGATTACGAACACACCTAAGCTCGCAACTTCTCTCCTTAGAAACTTTGATACTTGCAGAACGATACAAACTCCTCAGCATCATTTTGAAGTAGTGTGATTCAGAAAGTCCAAATTAAGCTTGGAGGTACAGGTATCAGTTTCATTTGCCCATCACTACTGATGATACAATTTTGTGTTCATGACTGGCCAGTGCACATGGGATCAATGCGCTCAAATTTTTTTTAGCACTTTCACATCTACGCAAGCAAATTTAGGCACTTTTATCATGTTTAGAATCTAATTTTAACCATCTCAACAAGAAGATGGTACAATTTTGATTATATTAATTAAGAGGGGACTTAGCAAAGTTTGGAACAGTGTTCATTTATTGTTCAGTACACAAACAACAGTTGCCAAATCAAAGACGTTTCATGGTCCATGAACCAAAATGGCTGCATCTCTGATATCAAGTGCCAGGTTGGTGTCATCTTGTAGACCGTCAAGGGTTGGTGGACGAGGCGCGTGGTGGTAAGAAGCCAAGTTGGAGGTGGCCGTGCATCCAATTCAGTCATTCAAGAAAGTCCAACAGGTTGCAGCAGGCACAATGAGGGCTTACTTGGACCTCTGCCTCATCTTTCTCCTTTTACGCTTCAGCCTGAGAGCAGGAAAAAAATAAATCAGATTTAGGACACTTAAGTTTGGTTGTTAAAGCCTAAAGGACCTCTTGCTATACAAGCAGAGGCACATGGAGTGACAAGACAGCGCCTTACAGCCCTATCAACATTCGATTTAAGCCACAATGCTTACTATGATTACAGAGACCTTAATTACCACCAATCCTTAAGAATCTCAACAGGGTAGATGTGAGTGTATAAAATATATACCCAGTTAATGACATTTCAACATTGCAGTAATTAATACAGAGACAAGAAAACATCACGCAAAGATACAAAACTGAATACATTTGAAATTACGAACTCAAGAATTAAATGCAATTCTGAACCAAAAAGGAGCTCGAAAATCCAATTCATAACCAAGGATCAAACACCCTAGGATAGCATTTCCACTGTGAAAAGCCACCTTTGGACATTAGTCTATAGACTTGCAATGCAAGTGAAATCCGAATTACTTGAGACTTCACTGATAAATAAAACATTTGGTGCTTACCTGCGCATGCGCTTCTTCCTCCACTGCAAGAAAAAAATGGTTAATGTAAACCAACACGTGCATTACATGTGCTGCAACATGCCTGTCAGAGACCAGTCCCAAGTCGCAGTACCAACTTAATTTAGCAAATATTCCGAAAGTTTCCTTTAAGAAGCGGGACCGAAGGCCCGCATTGTACGCAAACCATTACCTGTAATCACGTTCTCCGTTACTAGCATATGGCACAGTCCGGGCCTGCAAGTAGCATTAGCATTTCCGCCTTTTACATTTAGTTTACTACACTCAGTTAGTTTACTAGCGACAAGTATTACAAGGCGACGGAGACAAAATGTGAGACATTTACGTAACTTGGCTAATTTAACTGAAACGCAACAAACTAGATTAACAATCGTTTCTTGTTAGGGGGTCACGGTGAGGGCGATAAACAAAACGATTTTACCTTAGCTCTCATCGTGTGGAGAAGAGTCTGTTGAAGGAAAGAACAAAACAATATTAGTGGCTGTGGATGATGATGATAAACTTAAGGGATTGGATTGGATTGCACTGAGAGTAAACAATATTCCATACCTCACAGCGAGGAGGGCAATGGAAAGAGGATATGACGAAAGACTACGGCTGTACTTATACAAAATAGTGACGTAATGGCGCCATTTCTGTTGTCTGTAGCATGACGGGAGTTGTAGTTTTACAGGTTACGCGCGCACATACGGGTCCCAAGAGCTTACGAAATGATCCACACGAATATTTTCAGACACACTTAAGTGGCCTAAGTGTACTGTATAAAATATACTGTACTATAATTGAGGATCACGTGACTCTGTGATAATTGTCCAATTACAATATTGTGTTTGGGAGGCTTACATTAAGAATATAAATTTTCTCATGAATAAAACAAGAAATCCATTGTTAATTTTACAACTTATACTGTATTTTACTCATTATACTGGAGATCCTGTTAAGTCACGTTCATGCATTTATGGCTACTGTACGTGATTAAAAAGACACAGGTAGAAATGCACATCACAATAAATGGTCATACATGTTAGGCATAAATGTACCTTTATTGAAAACAAATATGAAAAGGTTTATTGTAGTCATTTGAAAAGTCCTTTGCCCACTGACCAAACAACACTGCAGGATTGTGCATTTGGACAAATCTGAAGCCATGTCTCGACTCCTCAAATCTGAGATTCTCTCTTCAGAAGGATAAACCCTGCGAGACTTCTCTCATGCTTTAATGGCAGTACATTTAGCATTTGTTCCCCAACACCCGTTTGCCCTCTAACTTCTAAATGCATAAGTGGGAGTATTCTTCAAAAAATATCTGACCGGCATGAAACATGTTGTCTATGACACTACAAACCTTGTAAAATACTGTCGGTTGCATTCTACACTTATGGAACTATCCTAACAATGTCAATTTTCTGGAGCGACAAGCACCAAATAAAACCCTTTGTTGTATGTCCATCAAAGAAATGGCAGATGACCCACAGGACGATTGAACTGACATGACTTAAATCGTTCACTAATTTGCTTCATCAAGAGAAATATGGCCTCACACACACGATTGGACATGTGCTGAAAGCAACGGCTTCAATAATTCTTTAATCAAATTTGGACATCAAAAACAAGTTGCTAGTCCCGTTAATGCCCAATGTTAAGTTTGAGATATTTTAGAGGGGGACTGTTTCAGCTGTAACTAGTAAGGTGAGGAGTTTTTATTAAGTAACAAGCACACTCACTCATTTCCTTTCTGTCCTTTTCTATAATGCAGTAAAGGGTTAGGCATCCAAGAGTTCAAGAAACAATGTCGCTTATGAAATATGCACTTCCAGTTCCAGTGTTGCTTTTGTAAATTGGACATATTGTGAAATCAGCTCTTCAGAGTGACCGTCGGACAGCAGGGTCGTTATCTTCTTGCATGGGCGTGAAGGCAGCTAGTTATTCTGCCGCGTCTGTTTCCTCACTTGGCTGCCCTGCTGCATTTTCTGCTGTCTTTGAAGCCTGAAGGAAGTGACGGCGAAGAAGTCGATGAGCACATTACGGCTACATCATGGGACAAAGGTGGTCTGTCAAGACCCGCTTGTGTTTAGAAAATACCTTCTTTTTCTTTTTCTTTTGTGTTTTCCTGCTTGCGGAGCTCTGTAGTAAAGTCTAGAAAGAATGACAAGTGTTAGTATAACATCATTCCTGCACTTCATTAGCAGAGTCTTGAGTGGGTCAGAGGGATACTGGAGTAACAGATGCCAGCTTGCGCTGCATGAGTGTACGTTAGTAAAACCTCACTCCTCGGAGTGTTCAAATGAAGGCACTGCCCAATGTGTTAGTGGCCCGGGCGCTTAGCTCAGTGCCACTGGAATGTGGGAGGAAACCGGAGTACCCGGAGAAAACCCACGCGGACACGGGGAGAACATAAAAACTCCACACAGGAAGGCCAGAGCCGGAATTGAACCCACGACTTCGGCACTGTGAGGTGGACGTCCTAACCAGTCGCCCACCGTGCCGCTAACTCCAAACATCCATATCGCAAATCATATTAACTCATTGAAACAAGGGGAAACGCGATTCATCCGTTGCAGTACTTTGCGAGCGCCTGTGCCACCGGGGCGGGGGCAGTTTTTTACAAAACAAAGATGAGCTTCACAACTAAGTGACTTGGTAAAATGCAGTAGCGGGTTTTTTGCAGAGGATAAATAATATATGCATCTGTGAGTGCCTGCCTAAAATTTAGTTGGATCATTTGTGTTCCAGAATCCATTGCTTAAAGCATGATAACACCGCCATCAAGACGGTAACTGCAAGCCTGCCGATGGCATTCTGCATGAACATTTAGCTCGCGGAATTTCAAAGTAGTGTGACTGTTTTAAACAACTTGAAGTCTAGTTTTTGAAGAATATTTCACGTTTCATGTGCCAAAGTGCTGGTAGTGCCGCTCGCCCCCACCATCTCCTGCTCATATGTAGAATTTTTAAGTTAAAAAAAAAAAAAACTAATCTGTAACCTTCTTAACACTACCCAACTTGTGCAATTTTCTGCTTAAGCGCTCACTCGTACCCTTAGCTCTGCATCCTGGACTTCATGCTCTGACTTGTACAACTCCGGCTCGAAGGGTCCGCTGGTGATCCTGTGAGGCCCGTTGGCCATCAGCAGCACTGTGAACTTAAACTGAGCTACAAACTCTCCTGAGACAACGAGATGTGGGAGATCAATGAAAAGATCAGACTAATGGCTGATGGGCCAAAATGCACGTGCGGGGAAGCCTTACCCTCTTTCTCGTGTAGGACACTGAAGGGCTGCAGCAACTCATGCTTGGCACATTCTACTACTCCTAGTCGGGCTTTGGCCTCATCCTCGAATGCTCTGAGTTAAACGTGACAAAAGCATCTAGTATTAAAGCTAGTTTCGAACGAACTCTTTTGGAATTAAAGCAGGTAGTATTTTCCTTACCTAAGAGTGAAGGGCATGGCATCGAAGCGGCGTTCAACCTCACTGAAGAAAGTACGGGAAGTCTTCATCTTCAGCCCATACTGTTTACTAGGGTCCCTCTTATATATGGTAGTCCTCAGACCTCCATCGCGGGCCTGACAGTAGATATGATCAACATGTTTGCTTTATTTTAATGGTGTTTGTGTTCCAAGGAAATTGGGGACAGTAAAATCGATCTGGGAAGGGAGTACAAAAACTGTACCCTCATTTACTTTGTGACGATATGAAAGGGTGGGAAAATGCACACACATAAAATTTATATATTGCATTATGCCTACACACTTAATATTGACAAATTATTTGCTCATGCATATTTTGCAATTCATATTCATTCCCAAGCGTCTAAACCAGGGGTGTCAAACATACGGCCCGCGGGCCGGATCCGGCCCGCAAAAGAGTTTAATCCGGCCCGCGAGATGATTATGTAAAGCATCGGTGTCAAACATACGGCCCGCGGGCCGGAACCGGCCTGCAAGTAGGTTCAATCAGGCCCGCAGGATAATGTAAAAGTGAAAAAAAATGCATTAAAGACACAGAATTAATATTTTTAATCAGGTGCAATTCATTGAGTATCCGCAAGGGGACACTGTTTTGATCAGAGAAGAAGACAAAAGCAGCCTCAGTCTGTCACTGAGACAGACCCATGACAGCAGACGCTATCAATCGCACTCTCACATTTACACATTTAATAGCACTCTCCTTAGTTTGTAAGGTGTAGGCAGGGATTACATTTAGATTTTATATGCACGTGTAAATGCTTTAAAACTTGCTTTCTTTATGAATCTTGTTTAATCTTAAAGTCCATTACTATATTTTTCAATACCAATTACTTGTTAAAGTTTGTACAATCAGTGGGATCAGTTGCAATGCATATATGTGAATGATAAAAGTAAATTGCACATTTGTCGAAGGAAATGTAAGGTGCTTCATGAAATGTTTTGTAAAAGATATGGTCATTAAATTTCAATATTTTCCTAATGTTCTTGTGCTTCTTTATACCAAAACAAAGGAAAGACATATTGTTTTGGTTATTTATAGCAAAGTATTGTATCATTTTAATGGTCTGGCCCACTTGACATCTACCGAGGCCGTATGTGGCCCACCGTGTGAAATGAGTTTGACACCCCTGGTCTAAACAGATGGAAAAATGCATCACACGTCGTGTGGTTAAGATACAGCTGCCTGTGCACACACACCTGGCCAACAGTTGGTTTAGTATGCACACAAAGCTTTGAGAAATTAACCCTTTCTCAAACCAATTGGCTCAAGTGGCACAATGCCTCACGTCACTGCCATCTACTGGCAGTTATGCGTCAGTAAAGTTTAAACTTTAGGGATGAAAAGCCTCAGTTAAATTTATTTATTTTTTTTTTTAAAAAGCATAAACATAACATCACTGACCTTCCCTTCTCCTGTGCTGACCAAGACGTCCACAGCGTAAACTTCGTGCACCTCAAACTCTGCCTTCTCATGATCCTTCCTGTCATCAGCAAAACAGTTCAAAGGTGAGCGCAACGACAACCCAACTATCAGGCTGCTTCTCAAAAATGCGCCCATTTGTCAAATGTTCTTTGAACCAGGGGTTCTCAAACCTTTGGGGTCCAGGGACCTCCTACAGTGATTTTTTTTCCACACCCAAAGATCCCTCTCATGATCACAATGCCAGCTCAGGATAATTAGGAAGGTTTAGTATCATTTGCTACAAATTATCTTGTGGACACTCAAGCTACGGCGGGTGGACCCATGGCAGTCCCCGGACCCCAGCTTGAGAAGCCTAGCTTTAAAATGCCTTAAATAAAAAATCAAAACCAAAAAAAACCTTTGTTGGTCTGTTGGATTCTGGATGATGGTCTTCTCTCCATCGATGACATGCTGCTTTAACTGATGAGACAACATGCCTTCAAGACACAAGAGACTTGACTCATCAGTCCAGAGAAATATCAAGATGCACAAACATGTTTCAAAATCAGTGACGCCAAAAGATATTGACAGGTACTCACCCTCGATAGGTGAGCATTTGAATGACTGGGAGATCTTGCCCCAGGCCTCTGTCACCTGAGTGTTCTGTATTTGCGCAAAATTAAAGCATGTATTATCTGATTATAACTTCTTCGGTGGATTCAAATCTTTTGAATGCAGGCGTACCTGGTTACCAGGTTTGACCAGGCGAAGAGCGGCTTCGGCGCAAAGATGGGCCGCTTTGATGACGTCGGCTTTGCGTCCTGTGACGGGGTTCTCCTGCAAAGAAACCAAGAAACCAAATTAAACGCCGCACTGTGCGTTTAAAGTCCAAGTGTCCTCACCTTTGTGGCTCCCACTACAAAGCTGTGAGCAACGTTGGCAATGAAGCCGTCAACGTGAACGCCGAGGTCACTGGAAAAGCACAGATAAAAAGATCAGTTTTATTTGAATGCACAAAAAGTCCAAGGAGTCACTTTACATTCACATATATAATACCCTTCAGACATCAGTCAGACAGACGTGAGGCCATCATCACTATCAAGGCTAAATATTCTACACAAAGTCCAACCTTACTTGTTGTTTGCCACTGACGAGAGACAGGAAGACAAGTTGGAAAAAGCCACATACATCTATAAATATGCAGGACACAGAGAGGAGGAGAACTAAACTGCTCCAGACACAGAGAAAGTGGAAGGGACACGGTGCCTACATTTTGACCAGATCTCCATCCTTAAGTGTGTAGTCGGGGTCACTCTTCAGAGGGGAGAAGTGGCAAACACAATTATTAACCGAGACGCTGGTTGGAAAGGCAATGCCTAGAGAAGGGAAGAGAACCGTTTTTTTTTTTAATTTGGGAATTATCCACAGGATCACTCAACTGACATTGTGAAACCTGAGTTGATCGGGTGACTCCTACCTTTCTTCATGTCCTTCTCCTTCTTGAAGACCTTTCCCGTTTCAGCCATGATGTAGGCGTCACCTTTGTCACATAGGCTGAGCACAGAGATGCCAGGCTTGGCTGCTTCCACAACCAGACGCAGAGCCTCTGAGGGGGAGGAAAAAAAAATAGGAAGAATTGAAAGCAGGGGGATAAGGAATAGAAAAGTATGTTAAGATCTGCAGTGTCTGTAGAGGACAACAAATGCCCCAAATGCACCAGATGATGTCAATGTCAACCACTTGCGACTTAATTTGAGTGGGCTGTTTATAAAGTTCTATTTGCGTTACCTTTAGTCAACTCACGGGGGAGTTCAAACGTGCTTTTAGACTAGATTAAAACATTTCTTTTTTGCCGCTATTGCATCTCATTAGCATGTACAGGCGACTCAACTATCAAGTACCGCAGTTGCTAAATGTCAATGACTCGCTTCCAGAATCATGATTGCCAAACAACGTGGCATGAGATATCGGCAGATGACATTATCCAGCTACACACACTTTGTCTGAAACATACTCATGTACAAGAAGTAATGCCATCGACATATAAAATGTAGAAGAATTAATTGCTCTCCCACGACATGGCTAATGTACAATTGAGCCATTATTACTCAGGTAAACAGTATTTATGTGGTATTATGTCGTATTGTTGTTTGGTGGTGTGTAATTAGATGTTCCCAATGTCAAATGTGTGCCTGTCCACACTGAAGTTGGAAAACATGAGTTTAATCCACAAAATGAACAAATTACACGCGATCTGTTGCAAAAATGCAAATTCAGGCAACTACGACACAATTGGACACTTGATTTTCCATTATCCTGAATTAAAATTGCACGTTATCTAGAAGAAAAAGTTGACAAAAATCTGAGTTCATGGTTGTAGTTCAAGAGCATATTTGAGATATACAATTCAGGATGGCACATGAGTTGCATGAAGCTATCTTTGCATTAGCACCCGATTCGTGTAATGTTGTTTGCACAGTGGCAGTGAAAATCAACAAAAGAGCGAACATGAGGCGAGGCTGGAAGAAGAGCTTTGCCTGCACCTGCTAGCTAGTTAGCCAGCCAGTTAGCATGCTAGGAGCTAGCTCACGTAGCATACGTGCGCCTCGCATGTAAACCACATGGCTGCACTTGAACAGGCCAACATAAGCAGAGCGCAGCAGTTTGCGAGGCGAATACTTACGGTTGGCGATGTCGCCGCCCATCTTGTACTTGGTGACCACGAGGTCCTCGGCAATGGTCTGTTCCTGCTCCTCGTCGGACATATCGACAGACTCGGAGTAGCGAATCGAGCGTAAAGTGACACAAATCCCAGCGCCTCCGCTCCGGCTCCAGTCGACTAGCCTGATCACACTCAAGCCCGGTTGCCGCCACACCGGACACCTTCCGCCCCCTAAGCCCCTCCCACTTGAGAATGGGGTTCCACGTCACGGTGACTACTAAACCCGCCAAAATGTGGGTGTCCTTCTCTCCCAGATTTACAATACGATGACATGAAGTTCTACGTCCCATACGTCAGTGGAACCGCCATGTTAGATGTGGCCATTGCCGCTTATGCCTGAATGCTGGCCTGAAACACAAATCAGAATCTATAGTTACAACCTCAATTCTAATGTCTCTTTCATGATATAGTGTTAATTTTTTTCTTATCTGCATTTCGCAGAGTTTATCTTGGCTGCACTGTTTCCGGTACATGTGGATGTTATTTTTTTTATTTCTGGACCAATCAGATTAATGCCTCAGGCTCAGAGTGTTGCCAAGTCAGTCGATTTTGCTCAGGGCCTTCAGAATCGCTTGTGTGGCACGCTGTAATTTTACCCACTAGATGTCACATTTTTTTCTCTTAGCAAATACAGGACACTTAAGTATTAGACGTGAGCAAATAATGAGTGCTGGGAGCATAACCAAATGATGCGCGGCTGCGGCTGTATAATCATAATGCTCAACCGCGGTCCCCCTGTGTGGGAGTCGGAGCAGACAATGTGAAATAGTAGCACTTTTGCGTAGCACTTTTTTAAAATGACGGATCGCCAGATGCTCGATGGAAATGCTCATTGGAGCCGATCGCAGCCGATAGCGTGATGGCGAAGGTTCTTGTGTAACCAACCACAATTCCCATGCGGCAGAGTTGACCACTCGCAGCAGTCAAGCGGGTTGTTCCCGACTCTCGAGACAGGCGAAAGTTCAAATACAAACAAAAATCTTATTTTGTAATTTCCTTGCACCTCAAAGGACCGAGGAGGCGAAGCGTTGGTTGCTTTAACAGGCCTGTCTTGTCTTTCGCAAATAGTAATCTGCTCAAACATATATTATTGATGAATCTCTGAATACAAAGTTTATTCACATTTTATCCCGAGAATTGGGTTGTCCTAAAGCCACCAGGGGGAGCTACTGAAGTTGAATTTCAATTGTGTTGGTGCGCCGCTGGGTGGCCCGGTGATCTAGTTGTTAGCACGTTGAACTCACAGTGCAGAGGTCGTGGGTTCAATCTCCGGCCTTCCTGCGTGGAGTTTGCATGTTCCCCCCGGGCCTTTTTTTTCTTTTTAGCCCTGGGTTGTATGTGCCCCTCTATCAAACCCCCTGACCCCACCCAGGCCCCCTCATTGAAATTGATCTAGAACCGCCACTGTACACAAGGGAAAAAAGTTCAATTAAAAAAAAAAAACATGTCTTTTAACAATTTTATTTATTTTGCTTTACCTTATTTTTACCTAGGATTTCTACACAAATGTTGAACAATTAAATAGAAAAAGCTCATTTCGTCGTCGGCCTCCCAAAAGCAGTCACAACGCAGACTAGTGTCTCTCGAAATTATGTGATGATCTGCTGTATTTCAAAATTTCTGCAGAAGGAAATTCAAATGATGAGTAAAGCTTTTTTTATGTCAAACATAATGTGCCATATAAACCATTTCACAAAAAATGGAAGGCGGTGATTACCAGTGGTGCCATTGGATAATGCTTCATTTTTTGCCACCCGGAAGTACGTGCAACATCATAGTGCCACGTCCTAGAGAGAGTACCGGTATTTAAAAATATCGAATGAAAAGCAAGTTAATGTCCTATAAAGAGTACTAAAACATTGTAGAGTGAAAAAAAGAAGGTTAAGACTACATACACGAAAAGAGAGTGTCATAATGAGGACATCACATGACGATTGGCGTGGTTCATTAAGATTACTGTACAGCTTAAAAATATAGAATGAAAAGCAAGTTAATGTCCTATAAAGAGTACAAAAACATTGTAGAGTGAAAAGAAGGTTAAGACTACATACACGAAAAGAGTGTGTCATAATGAGGAAATCACTTGACGATTGGCGTGGTTCATTAAGATTACTGTACAGTAAAGACACCCTCCTCCCATCTGGACTGGTTGACCAACACATCATCTTCATGCTTCAAGGAGCCTAGTAGGTACTTAACCCCAGCCTTGACGCCTGTCTTGACACCGGCACCGAGTGCATAACCAGCCACACCGGCGGTGCCACCCGTGGCGACCACGAGGGCGGCTGTC